ATTCTCTTTTCGTGTCCTCACATGGTTCCATGGCAAACAGGGGCTGGGCTGGATTCTCTGAAGGTTCACAAAGATGGACATCATCCAATATGTCTTCTTTACTGACAAGCCTCTTGCTTCAGTACTCCTACCCCTGGAGTCTCCATAAAATTAGCTTGAGTATCTTACCTGTGTTTAAGTGTTTTAAAAGGTAAAAAGCAGATGTTGCTAGGCTAGATACAGTCTGTGTCCAAGATTTACACAGCATTACTTCTGTAGTATTCTATTGTTCAAAGAAGTCAAAGGGTTTGACCAAATTCAAGGGATTGGGAAGTAGACTCATTTCCTGATGGTTATATTGCAGAAAAACATGGAGTTTAGAAGATACTGTTATAGCCACTTTGACAAATCTAGTCAGGCATAGTTCATATGCAACATACACTTACAACTCCTGCAAACTTCCAGGTCTAATCCTATTATTACATTTATCCAGAATTTCATCATCTAGGTCATAAACATATACAGATGTAGGTGAAGCTTCATGCATGTGGTTATTTGGATGTAGTTCTTGGGGTATAAGTTCCCCTTTCTCTGAACACTTATTAACTGAAGAGATAAGTCACCGGCCCCTCACACTGCCAACACACAATGTGAATACAGCAATAGGATGAATGCAAAAAACATTTTCATTCCAAAGAGGGAGAAAGATGGAACATGTAGTTATTGGTTCATAACATACTGAAACTGAAGGTGCCAGCTTTTGATTTGGGGTCCTATTCTGCTCTATGAGGATAATGCTCTTTTTTCTCAGTGGTTCTTGGCTTTACCTTGTGGAATCTAGTCTCTATACTCTGAGCCATCATTCATTTTTTAAAGTGGCTCAAGTTTTCACTTCATCTTTTTAAGCTTATAGGTTGGGAATTCCAGTGATTCTTTTTTTATTTCTTTTCTTTTAATAATTTCCTTCTTTTAATTCCCCAAATGTTTCACTTTTATAAAATAACGCTTTTTTATTTTAAAATTTTATTAAATCTATTGGGGTGACATGGCTTAGTAAAATTTTATAGGTTTCAAATGTACATTTGTATAATACATCATCTATATGTTGCATTGTCAGTTCTTCCATCGCCATGTGTTTGACTCTCTCTTCCCTCTTCTACCACCCTCCCACCCCCTTATTCTCTAAACTGATGCCTGTGTCTATGAATTTTTCTTTCTTTGTCTTATTTGTTTGTTGCTTTCAGTTTTATATCCCACATATGAATGAAGTTATGTAGTTCTTGACTTTTTCTATCTGACTTATTCTGTTTATCTGGTTTAACATGATAACCTCAAGATCCATCCATGTTGGATTAAATGGCAGTTTTTCTGGTGAGAATGACTGTTATTAACAAGACAAGTAATAGCAAGTATTGGAGAGGCTGTGGAGAAAAAGGAACCCACATACACTGCTGGTGGGAATGTAAATTGGTACAGCCACTATTGAAAATAGCATTGTAGCTCCTCAAAAAATTAAGAATAGAATTATCACATGGCCTACCAATCCCTCTTCTGAGTATCAACCCAAAATATCTGAAAACATTTATCTGTAAAGATATATGTACCCCTCTGTTCATTGCAGCATTATTCTCTGTGACCAAGACATGGAAACAACCAAAGTGTCCTTTTTTAGATGATTGGATAAAGAAGATGTGGTACATATACACAATGGAATATTACTCAATCAATCCTTCTTTTCATTTTGAGCTGTTTCTGTTCTTTTCAGTTAAGGAATCTTAAAAATGCACACTTTTTTCCCCCCAGAGGCCAGCTCTTACTTTAAGAGTATATAATGTCTAGAAAAAAAGTGAATGAGAAACAGCTTTGTGCTCAAACTCAGAAATGCCTGAAGCCTTCATAGTTTCTCTGAGTCCTACTTGAAAGTTAAACATTTCCTTAACTCATGACTCATGTTTTTCTATACATATTTTATTATATGTGGCAATTTCAACATTCTCTGGAAATTTCATTCATTAAATCCATNAGGCCCTTAACACACTTTTGTCATCCACATCTGGGCTGTGCTGATGACCTGTGTTTCTATGCTGAGGATATCCTTTATCCATCACTTTGGAAAACATGTTGCACCCACAGTGCACATTATCATGAGCTTTTTTTTTTTAAATACACATACATATTTCAGAGTTCAGAAATACATGAGGGTACAAAGTATAATTAATTTTGAAAATAAAATTGCATATGAAGACAGCCTGCATTGATGTACATCTCCAGTCACTGAGTAGCATCACAATTATTTACCTCCACTAAAGAAATCTTCTTATTTTCCTGGTATTCTCTAACATTTGCAATAAACTTGTCTCACTTTTCTGGCTATTAAACGTTTAATGAGTCAATTTTTGTTTTCCTCACAAGTAAACATATATCCATAAACTTCTTTTAATTACTAGTAGGTTTGTATTGTTCCTTAATTTTATCATGTATAATATACACCAAAAATCCGGGCTTATAACCATAGCTTATATACTCTCTCCTAATTAAGGTGCTATATCCATACACATGAATTGTTATTATAAAAGACAAGTTTAGACAGCTAATCCAAATACTGACTGTGGGTCTCAGGTGTTAAAGCAGTCACTCAATATGTAAAATACCCAAAAGGTTTCTTGGCCCAGAGGTGATTCCTTGTTTTTATAAATGTCGATGTACAATACAGATGAATATGTATATCTTCTCTGAATTCTTATAAGCTACACCATCAGATGTAAGACTTAAGATCTAAGATTAACGCTAAGAGGAAATTCAAGGTCTGCCTTTTTATGTTCCCAAAGATTTAAAAAAATAATGCATCTAAAAGGTAAATTAGAATAGTTTATGGGTTAAAGCTGTGGGTTATGAATTAGGATTCCTGGGTTTTAAACAGACTTTACATACTGATTAGTGATGTGACCTTGGGAAAGTCCTTCAGTACCTGTGTTCCCTGTATGTAAAAGTGGGATACTAACATTAGCCACTTCATATAGTAGTTGTGACCATTAGATTAGATTAGATGATCCATGTAAAGTGGTTAGAGTAGGTTTTAGGATAATGTTTAGCACATTGTAAACATTGATAAATATTTGCAATTATTATTTTTACCATTATTGCTATACTGCCCATTCCTGTGCTGATATGTGGTATGTCTTATGTCTAAATATGCTGGTATTTTCTGTGTCGGTTGGTTACACAACAAAGCCAAGCATTGCTGGGGGATAACCACGTAAATGAAGCAAAGCCTTAGTCTTTTACGAAGCTAAAAAAATGTATTTATACCTCCATATATTTTACGAAATAACCATTCAAAAAACTCTCTCTTGGAATTTCATTAAAAGCCACTTTGTCTATTCTATGTATTTGCCTTTTAATGAAAAATTTTGTCTTTTTTTCCCTCATCTGAATTGTGTGTATGTGTTTGGGTGGGGAGACAGTGTAAGGAAAAATAAGATAGTGCTGATAATGTAATAATGTGTCCTACTTCCTTGTTAAGGGTTGGGATATTTGAAAAGGATTTCAATTAACTCAAGGGATGATAGATACAGATCTTGAAATGCAATGTACTGTATTTCCTCATGTATAAGAAGCACCTTTTTTTGAAAAATTTGGGGTCTAAAACCTGGGTGCATCTTATACAGTGGTTATAGATTTCAAATGCCATAGATGGAACTGAGAACGAGGCACTATATGAAGACAGTGATTTGTCATCAGACACAGATAAGGACAAGCTAACGGTTGGGAGTTTTGACAGTAATGAGGAGTGTATGAATTTTATGATGAATAAAACTTGAGTTCAATAACTTTATGTAATACATTTTTTTTTCAAATTTCAGGCCCTCAAATTAAGGTGTGTCTTATACAAGGGAGCGTCTTATACATGGGGAAATACGGTAGTTTTCCGTCTACTTGATGGTGTGACAGCTCCACGTGAAAACTGGAGCCTGTGCACGTTCTAGATTGTGGTAGCTCTCTTTAGATGTAACAGCATTTATTATCCATAACTTTGAAACTTCCTAAGATTTTCATTCAAAAATTGTTTATAACCAGGCATGTTGCCTTTGCCAAAAGTATTGCACTTGATTACAAACTTGACTAATTGAATTAACATTTTATAGGCCTGGTAAAAAATAATTTTATATTTGAGGCATTTTCTTTTAAAGAAAAACTATTTTTGCTTTAATTTATTTGATATATTAAAAGTAAGAACTGCTATTTTTAAAAAGTTGCTAAAGTTAGGTCTTGTTCTTTTGTTGATGAATGTGAAAATTTGCTACTATTCTGTAGAAGGCTCTTTCAATGATAGGTATTTACTAATTATGAGCCTTGACATTATTCAGTGACTTCCTTGTTCTGAAAGAGAATATGTACTCTGAATTTTTATTTGTCTATTTTGACTCCATTTCATGATCCTTAAGAGTTAGTGCTTATTAGGGTATGAATAACATTACAACTTTTGCATAACAGTTAAAATTTCACATTGATGCACTCTTTACCTTCAAGAGTTCAAATGAAAGACAGATGAATAAACCTTTTTTTTATTGTAGCAAAATTAAGCCAATGGAACATATTTCACACCTTCAGGGTAGTAAACAAGAATTAGAGTCTTCATGGTTACTCCAGCTATATATCAGTCTACTAACCAACCTATCTTCTCCCATTGAATAATGGAATATTAATTCTCTCCAGTCTTCTATCCAGTATTATGGAGGAAAAAGAAAGAGAAAAATTTAATTTTTTTTTAAATTTAAGAATTTATTATCAAGTTAGAAGGGCAAAAACTATATAATAGTACAGTTAAAAGTTTAAAACTTATGTATACAAATTATGTGGTTATAATTAGCTTTACAAAAATACAGAATTCAATTATTAATTTTTCTGATTCACAATTTTTTCAGCAAAAACAAAATAGCCCAAAAAAGAAAAGTCCCTTTCCCATAGTTATTCAGCTATTTAGTAACTTTCCTCAGATCATTTTATTCTCCTGCTTCATAATGTCCAAAATTGATGGTTAGGACTTGGTTAGGATGAAGGAATAAATACTCATTTTCTACTATTATTTACTCTAGCTTTTTCCTCTCTGTTTTTTCATGTACCAGACTTTGGCTACATCTCTGTAACAACATCCAACTATACATCAACTCACCTCACAGCCTTTCTGCTGACTGGAGTCCCAGGGTTAGAAGACTCCCAAATCTGGATGTCCATTCCCTTCAGCTTCATGTACCTTTTGGCCATGATAGGCAATGGCCTGGTTATGGCAGTGGTGGCCTGGGACAGAAGCCTCCATGAACCCATGTATCTCTTCCTTGCCATGCTGGCATTCAATGATGTCCTCCTTTGTACTGTCACAGTGCCCAAAATGCTTCTCATCTTCTGGCAGGGCCCTTCCCCATCCACGTTTCCTGCATGTCTTACACAGATGTTTTTTGTTCATGCTTTGTTCCTTTCTGAATCTGCTGTTCTACTGGCCATGGCTTTTGATCGCTATGTGGCTATATGTGCACCCCTCCACTATGCAACCCTACTTACAGGCTCTTTCATTAGCAAGGTGGCCCTGACTCTGGTGGTTCGGAGTGTGGCTGTAGTTACCCCTGGTGTCCTCCTCATTCTCCGTCTGCACTTCTGCCAGAGCAACATCATCCGCCACACCTACTGTGAGAACATGGGCATTGCCAAGTTGGCCTGCAATAGCATTACCCTTAATAGCATTTATGGGCTCACTGCTGCTCTTCTCACCACAGGGGTGGACTTTGTTTTCATTTCCCTGTCCTACTGGGTAATCCTGAGAACAGTCTTCCGACTACCTTCTAGGGAGGCCCGAACAAAGTCCTTTGGAACCTGTGGAGCACATATATGTGTCATCTTGATATTTTATACTCTGGCCTTCTTTTCTTTCTTTACCCATCGCTTTGGAAACCATGTGCCCAGGCATGCCCTTATCCTCCTGGCAAACCTCTACTTACTGGTGCCTCCTACCATGAACCCCATTATTTATGGGATAAAGACAAAAGAGATAAGAATGCGAGTACTAGAGCTCTGTAACCAACCAAAATGACCCAAGCATTCTGAAGCAACAAGGAGCAGAGGGGTCGAGGACAGAGAGGATCAGGATTAAATGTCAAATCTGTATTCATCTAGGCAGATCTATTTCCAGAACACCTAACCTATGGATAAATCTTGAAATATTCATATTTCCAAGTGCTATCTTCCTAATACTGGTAAACAGGAAACTAAAGGAACTGCTCAAGTTCCATCAAGGGATATCTCAGCATACTAAGGTAACAGTCAGTGGAATGTAACTGTAACAGTATAGGGGATTTAAATATCCTTTTTGTGACACACAATGCCTCTTCTGTGTCAATTTGCTATAGACAGGACAAAATGTAAACTCCATAAATTCAGGGATTAGTTCTGATTCCAGCCTCATCATTACATCCAGAGGGCCCAGAATATACAAATGACTTAATAAATATTTGTTTAATAGATAATGTTTTAACTAATCAAACAATAAATGCTAATGATTTTATGTAACAAACTTCTTGACATGTCCTTATATATTATATAGAACCCATAGTTCAAGTATTTCTTTCTTTTCCTCTCAAAAACCTTTCCCTTAGCTTCCAAAAAATATTTATTTCATGTCTCCTTTAAAACTTAGTGTAATAAAGATTCTTTTGATTGCACACAATAGAAATATACTTTGGTTAGATTAAGTAAACAAAAAAGCAGGGTCTGAGTTATGTCATGACATCCAAGGATAATTTGAATACCTATGACTCAGAAAGGACAAAAGCCAAGCTGCTGTAGGATGTCAGCAGCAGCAGAGCGTGGACTTCTCTAATGGATTTGGTGACACTATCTATCCCGTCCCAGCAGCACTTTGTGACGGTATCCTGTCCCTGCTGCAATTATTATGGAGCAAGCAACACAATTAATTGCCCTATATTGGGCCAGATTGCTAAACCTGGACCAATCTGTTATGTCCCTTAATATTTTTATTTAATCGAGATGAAATTGTGTTAGGACAATTCTCAAGAAAAGGAAATCATGGCAAATAGTCAGGATTATGTCCACTGAATTCATTTGGCTCTTCTATGTAAGCATATGCAATTTTCCTAGTTTAGATTTATCCACACCAGAAGTTCTTGCTAATTGGTTTCTGTAGTACCTGGGACATACTTTATCATCTATATACTTATATGCCATAATATCTTTCTCCACTAGAAAATATTCACCTCTTGATTAATAAAAGAGCTAAAATATTTCCCTTGCATCATACAATAAAAAGTACATCATGAATATAATAAAAACATATATATATATACATATATATGTATATATATGCATATATATATATGTGTGTGTGTGTGTATATATATATATATAGATAGATATAGTCTGTGGTTAAATTAATTGAATTGAATGTCTTGAAAATATTTAGATCATTCTCTTTATAAATGCATATGGCTATTTCTAGAGTCTATGTGTTATCAGGTTGTTATCCACGTGGTATTTTTTTAAAGGAAATTATGTTTTTATTGTTTGAGTTATTGGATTGAATGACTGAATTATTAAGTGGGATACTGAAGTATTTTGCAGCAATGCTTGTATAGAAGAAAATGTCAAACCCAGATGGTGAAGGAGCTAGTGATCTTGTCTGCTATATTTTCTTGCCATCATGTTTTGTACAAAAGGCATTCTACAGGATAAAGATAATAGATGCATAATCCAAAGGATAACATTTGACATTATGAAAACAATTACATTACATTTTTGTTTAATGATAGGCAGTTGGAATGCAAAAATGAATTATTATTTGGGCTTCTGGGTATCTTACAGATTCTGCAGGAAGGCAGAGAATGCTTTCAGAAGTCAAATAAATATATATGACTTTATCAAATGAGATAATATGAGTAAAAGTGTCTCCTAATTTATAAATCCACATACAAATGAGATAGAAGCCTCTATCATATTGTAGTTCTAAGAAGGAACAAAAGGACTTCTTGTTTTAGGATCACTAGCTCCGAGGAACCTTCATTAAGTTTTAAAAATAAGATGATATTCCTATTCTAAATTCATCATATAACCTCGCCATTCATTCATTTGCTCATTCAGCCATATTTTTAATCACTTGTCTCTTCACCAACTATATTTTGCTGGAAAGAATTACCTCAATTTTGAGAATATGTGGTTTTGGAAAAATATATTTTATGTATATAATGCAACTCTAGTAATAAATGTTAGGAGCTAGTATGGTAAATAATAATTTTAAACTCAAAAGTTGGGTTATCTATG